TAACTTGCTAATTAAACTCATGGCATATCTATCTACTTAGGTAGCGTACATATATTTATATATAAACTCGAGATTACTACGACTATAAGCTAGCTCATCAAAACATAGGACTTGATCTGAACCGAGGTGCAAGAGCAGTAAAAGAGCAAAAAGATCTGTAAATTAAAGAAGAGCTACACTTGAACAGTTTCCCTTCCTTACTGTTTGCAACATGAACAAATCAAATAGAGAATATTCTCTAATTAGATCAGACATGGGTAGAGATTCGTTATAATATAGTATGCGTATGCATGTCTTCTCCCCCAGTAATTAAACTACGTACTGTTCTGCATATTATGTGGGCATATGTACATATGATGACTTTTGCATATCAACCATTAATCATATATATATATATATATATATACATATATGTATTACTTCTATTCTTCATGACTAATCTAATTTGCATGAGAACTTCTTCCCAGTGAAAGCCAACTGATCTCCCAGCTCCCAAAATTAAACTCCACTAACATATATTAATTTAGCTAGCTACCTAATTACAGATATAAATCGTATTTTATGTATGGTCAACATTGCACTACCTTAGATAAATGATATATTTATAACACCAGTTCATGAGTAAAGTCTCTGGACTAATATGGCAAAGTAAGACTACGTAGTCGTCGATATGTGTGCATATGTATGAGTTTAAGTACGTACGTACATACATGTAGCCAGTTGCAGTCCCGGAACTATGTATGTAACACATGTATATACCTAGTTATACCTAGCCTTAAGTCTCTGTGTCTGTGTGTGAAAAGAAGAACGAAACAACAATGTCTTTAGTTACTACTTGAAAACAAAGCCAACCTCTTTTTATCTTTCTCAGGCAAAAAGAAACGAAGTGAATGGAAGCAAAAAATTCAATAACCAGCCAGAAATATGAATAGTCAACTCAAATTCTCACATGTAATTCAATTGAAAAAATGGATTTCCTAAACCCGTACATATTAATTTAAACAATATATTAATACACGAACATTTTCACACTCTGCGAATCATTGGATAGAAGAACATTAATGCAAAAAGAAACTTAAAATTCTAGCTTTTAATTATATATATGTTTTCCAAGCATGTACGTAGAACAAATTAGTAATTCGCAAAAAGTATATATGGTAGTAATTATCATGTATATACCTGTGTATAGTAATACCTGTTTATAATGTAGTTGAGGAAAGATCAATCCTTTCATGATGATGTTTTTTCTTTTTTTGAAATAACAATCCTTGCGTGATGATGTAGACAGGAAATGAATGAAATAGCAGGTAGGATTAGAATATACTTTCACCCAAGGCCTAGCATGTGGAGCAAGAAGAAACATGTAGCCAAGGACGACTTGCCAATTTGGTAAAACTCTGTGAGTCATCGCCAGAGAATAGCAAGGACAATAGAAGAGTCGGCAAGTCATTCTTGGCTGCACAATTACCTTTCTATACCTGCATGCGAGGCCATAGATAAGTCATCATCATCACCACCACCACCACCACCACTGCTTTGTATTGTCTCACCAGCAAAAATGATGAGAAGAGGTTTTTGACCAAAGCTTCATTAATGTTAGGCGAAAGAGCGGGCGCAAATGGAGGGAGACCAAGTAGACTATTGGTTAAACAGAACCCATATGAAGGTTTATATATGTAGAGAGAGATCAGAAGAAGTTAAGGATATCGTACTGTTAAATTACATATATATCTTGAATCCAGGTCCATCGTCGTGGGATGATGAAGACGGGTGCTATACATGGAGGATCTACACACACATGTTATATATATATATACACACGAGATCAGAGAGGCCTGGGGGCCGGATAAGATTCTTGGTCATCTCCATGATCCCCACACACTCCATTTTCGGATAATTCTTGCAGAAGATTTCAAATCTCTTTTAAGGAGAAAAAAAAACAAAAAAAAAAAAAAGAACCCAACTTGCATGCAGACTGCAGTGTTGCTCTCCATCAAGAAGCTAACCCTCTACTCGCCTGCAAATCCCACTTAACATCACTCTCCTACTCAATATTTCCAGTTACTCATTTGACTGAATGTTATGAAACGCCCAGCTAGCTAGCAACTGCTATCTAAGATATTTATTATAAGAATACACAGGGTTAAGATATAACTTGAGGGGTAAAAGATAACTTTTAAGTTTGAGTAAACCACAATAAAATGCACCTAAACTCGGCAAGTTCTTAATTATCTATGATTAAATATAGAAGATATTTATATTCACCGGACGGTAGACTGTAAAATATTAATTTATATGAGCGAAAAAAAAAAAAAATGTCGAAAGAAAACAAAAGATATATAGTGATATATATGGATTCAGCAGAGGATGTTAATTTGGCAGTGGAGAATACATTGTTCACGTGCGCACCATCTCAATCATCATCTCTTCAGCTACTCCAAGGGTCGTGATGGAAGCAAAAAGACATGATGATGATGACGATGATAAGAATCTTGTTTATATATAGAGAATGACGACACAAGTAACGATTTTGTATCTCTTTCACATGCAGGAAATTGTGAAACTTAGAAAAAAAAAAAATAAAGAACCCAGAATTTATGCTGTTTATAATATTAGATGGAAAAATCTAAACTGACCTCTGTGAAGTAAGATATATTAGAGATCATAAGCAGTTAATTATCACAGGATAGAAAGAAATATTGTTCAGCGGCACCCAACTTCTCATTCACTGACTGACAAAACAATCCTAATGAAATGAAGGTAGCTAGATAGGAACAAAAATAATTAATATACAGTTAAAGGAGCCACTGCAGGAAAGGTTAAATGTAAGAGTGGGGTGAAGCCAGATTACTGCTACTGCTGTATGTGGTTAATGTTACATATAGCTAGGCTTTCTAGGGAAGTGAGGAAACTCAAACACCAAGGTCTCATGTGCTCTTGTGTTTCCTTGTTTTTGTTTTTCGTTTTTCCTCGTTAAACACACATTTCAAAACCATTATATCTGTATATATTTACATATACATGTAAGAGGCTTTTTTTTTTTTTTTTTTTTTAAATATCATAGCAATAGGAAAAAGGGAACCCCTTTACAAACTTTGATCTCTAGAACTCTTTTTTTTTTTTCTCTCTGACCTTTCCTCATTTACTGTCTATATTTCAGTCTTAGACAGGCAAGTGTGAGTGGTAGTAATTAAAATTTGAAGAAAACAACTAAGGGTGTCATACGTGGTGAGGTTAGAGTAAGATTCTTGCAGAAAAATCTGAAAAAAAAAAAGAAAAGAGAAAGTGTTGTGCCTTATCCTCGAAAGGTCTCGCATGGGTTCCCTGATGGCAGCCGAACTGACTGCTGAAAAATGCCTGCACGAAGTTTTAAAACTAAGCCAGAAGATGATGAAAGATAAAAGAGTCACGTATCATTCTTAACAGACAATGATCAACAACCAGAGGGTATAATCCTACCATTCAACCACATTTCTATTCATCCAATATATCATATCTGAATATAGGAGCAACACTGAATTTGTGCTGTACTAACACATACCTACTGTTGAGTTGAATGATTGTATGTCTCTTCTTTTATATTATATTATATTATATTATATTTAATGCATGCGTATCGCCCAGTTAATCAAAGTACACATTTATTATTTTAAAAAAAATTCACAGTTATCTGTAAAATCATGCATACACAGATGGCCAAAACCACAACTTTAAGAATCACGGTGCTTTTGCTTTTCCTTTTTTTTTTTCTTTCTTTTTCAAGCCATGGCTCACCAAGCGGCAATTGCACTAACGGAGCTTCTCTATTTTATTCAAGTCTTGAAAATTATCTCCTCATTTTAACCACAACCATATTTCAAACTCATAATAATAGCTTAAATTTGGCCAAATAATTACCTTATATATTTGATCGTAATCATCCTAACAGCAAACCGAACAATTGCGCAGTAAGTCGGGTTGAAATTACCTACGGGTAAGAACAGTTACTCGAGCACGTCCAACTCCTAAGTATGTATATGTTGACAAAATCATCTCCAAGTAAACAACAAAATCTATATCAACCCAAAAGTATAAACCTCCCAAAGAAAATATACTCTACACCATTAACGTTTGACTTCGCGCAACAACGATTTTTATTCAAATAAACAAAAACGTTCCAGTAATAGCCCCAAAAAATCTGACAGGTCCATATGCCTCTCAATATTTATGATTACAATTTCTTGTGAAAGCTAAATATAAATTCAAATTCAACAAGCACCCCAGGTCAAACACAGGAACTCCCTCCATTGATGAGCTCGTAAAGGTTGAGGGAAAAACAACAAGATTCCAATTATTACGAGCATGGTAGAAAGCTAAACAAGTCATTAACAAATATTACAAGGTAGGATCCCCTTCCACGGCCACTATGTAACAAATAACCAATAGCTTTTAGATAGATCCCAATACACCCCATCAAGAGCTATATAAACCTATTATGCTGCATAACCGACCAATCAAGAGTCCTGGGGTGTCTCAAATCTTTGTCGGTGTGTCAATCCCCATCATACAGCAGAGTCCTGATATCAGGATTAGAAGCAATACAACTCCCTGGACATCATAAATATGGCAAATTTAGATTAGATGCCTATAAGTTTCACAACTGAAACTGCAATGTAACTAACTGAACAAGCTAGATGTAACATGCACGCTGCATATTCTCTTGCCCAAAATCCATAAATCATAAAGAAAAAAGTACTGTAGCAATGATTTTGCTTCTGGCAGTTTCAACCAAGTCATATAAAAGGTTTAAAAAATGAGATCTGAACTCAGCCAGCTCGTCTTGACTTGCTGATTGAAGTCACTCAGGGACTGACTTGGTACTTCAGCAGCGGAAAAGGTCTTGTCCTCGACAAGGAGGAGCGAGCAGCTGAGTACCTCCACCACATGCAGAAAATGAAAAGGGAGAAGATGGAGAAAATGGAGAAAATGCCAAAGAGAATGCAGAAAAAGAGAGAGCCGATGAGAATGAAGAGGACACCCACAATGCCTGAATTGGTTATTAGTACCGGATGATGACAGTCTTTCTATGGAGATAATCACAAGGAATTTGGTCTTTCTATGGAGATATTCATGAGGAATTTGCTGTCAATATGACAGCACGCAGATTTTACCAGTATCAACTACACACCACAAGTAAAGTAAGATGTAACTTACAACTAGAACTCCCTCCAGAAGGGATGACTTAATTTGGCAGACTTCATTACAGCTAGTGGCATTATCTGATCCATTTCCAGCACTCTCAGCAAGAAACCTTCGTAGCTCATGATAAGAAGGGTACCTATAGGGATCGGAAACATAAAGAGCCGCATACTTTGCCCCAGACTGCTCCACTGAGCTGATAAGTTCAGTGATAATTTCATCTGCAAATTGGATATGGAAAGTATTTTCAGAAGAATAGATGACTTATAGAGGAATATCTAAAAAATATCAACCTCTAAAGACCACTCTTCTTTAATTTTCCATACTTTCTGGACGTGGTTCTTGCTCTTTCAATGAATTAGATCCTTCAGAACAAAATACAACCAAATCAGCATGCCCTTGTGTTCTCTGTTCCATCCTTGAAGCCAAATGATCCTGCTCATCTTACAGCAAAATGTTCTAAATCAATGACAAGGAGAGGAGAAGAGATAGAAAATCATGAAGAGGCATATAGAATCATGAACATCAATGTACATGGAAAGAATCCAAGTTTGCTAGTTTCTGGAAGCTTCCACCCTCTACAGAGCATGATTTTGTGAAGAAAACATTTTTTGCTCCAAAATCATTCCCGCAACCTTCTGTAAAACCTGAAACCAACAAATTTTCCATTGTTTCCTCTTCTGGGGCAGCAACATATGGAAACGCCATGGAGAAGTTGGACCTAGTAAAAGAAACCTGTCCAACAGCATGGAAAGCAAAAATTAGAAACCAAAAACAAAACTAATCAACAATTATCTCTACTGAGAAGCTATAACCCAAAGGATAATAAAATCGAACTAGTGTGTTCTGGGTTACCTTTAGCAAGTCCACAAGAGCTGGATGGCATTTCTGTCCCAGATATATCTGAAGATTGCAACTAAAGATAAAGATGAAGACATTTCAGCAATGTGAAAGATAAGAATCTCTGTAACTTTTTTGCATTATAATGTAGGTATTCAGGGGTTATGCAGGAGTGCCGCTTCCATGTAAAATACTGGCTTTAGCTCTCAATGCACAAGTTATTAAAACTATTGAAAATCAATGTGATCTTATGACAGAAATAAATTCTTGCAATTGATGAAGAATTATTCGCATATTCTTTTCATTTAGAAAAAAATGAAAAAGAAATTTCATTTTATTTATAAATTCATCGAACAAAGAATTCAGTTCCGAATGACTTTTTTAAATCTGAAACACATAATGAAATGTTGGGGAATTCAATTGACCACTACATTTGAGGAACACAAAAAATAGTAAAGAAAACATTTCAAGTTTTTTCCTCCACTCTCTCAAGATCATTTCCAAATTCCACCAAATTTTATAGGACTTCAAAGGCACTTACTCGATGCCATAATGAATTCCATATGTTCACTTCAAAACCAATTCCAAAGTTTGAAATCATCCAACGCATAGAAACATAGGTTTGTATATAAATTGCCTATTACTTTCTAGTATTTATTTGTTCCAAATGTAATGTAGCAAATCTAACTAAGGTTAATCAAGTTCAATTATAACTAAAGAATAATAAACACGCTGACAGAGTAATTAGTAGATGATATAGGGTCTCCTTACCTCCCGGCCGATAAAAACAAGTGCCAAATCAACAGACTGCTGAAGTTTGTCACCTGAGCACTACGTTAAGAAAATAACAAAATGAAAGGAAAACAACATCAGGAATTAAAAGCAGATGCATATGTCAGTAGAAGGTTAGTTATCAATTTTTACGGATTCTGGCGAAGGAAAACAGATCAATATAATAATGAAATGTAGATAAGCAGGCAACTATACCAGCAAGTTTGACCAGCCTCCTTCAGAGAGAACAGAGTTTGCTAGATCCGTTGGGGAGACAGTTTGGTAATTTACAGCTTCTTTTGATTCACTGATCCATAGACTTTTGATTACTCAGACGAATAGCGCATAAAAGAAGGATATATGGTTGTCTAGTAAACTTATGCAGAAAATTAGGAAAGAAGAAAAGAAAGAGGCTTACTGGAGGTGGTGAGGAGACCAGAGGAAGGCGGGCACAGTAGATGGCAATGCAAATCCAAAAGGGGTGTAAGCTGCGAGAAGCAAGGTTGATAATAACAGCACGGCAGCATTCTTAGTCATCTTCATCCTTGTCTGGCTCTCGCCGATACGCTAGACCGAAGCCACTATCCAAATATCAACCAATTGGGCGTTCCCATTCATTTCTTAGGTAAGTATATTGATAATTGATTGATGCACCGATAAAACAAGAAAAAGAAACAAAAATTCCAACTATCGCTCACAGGTATCAACAAGACCAATAAGAAGCCGAGAAATCAGGAAATTAGGGATTGCATATACATGATTACAGAAGCGAAAGAGAAGCAATCGAGCGAATAATTAACAAAAAGCGTGAATACCGGGAACAATATGAACAAACCTGAACGGAGCAGCAAAAAAATTCGACGGAAAGATAAAGGAGAAGTACGGTTGAAATCGGAATCAAAAGTTTAACGGGGGGAGTTAAGATCCACGTTCAATCTCCAATCTCCGCCTCCGCGCGAAGAAAAAGAATCCTGTGTTGCAAGACACACGGGCTACCTGCCCGAATCAATCAACCCACACGATGTCGTTTTGCGGTGGTGGACAAAGAAACGGTGCGTTTTGCGGCTCTTGGTGTCGAGCTGGGTAATAGCCTGCATATCGTAGGACCCTTTGAGAAGAATGCGGACAGTGGACTGGGCTGAGCCCATACGTGGGCGGAGAACTGGCGAAGAGCCCATTTAATAATTTCTACGTTTATTACACTGGGTTATTTCAGCTCTTTGATGACTATTAAATATCCACATCCACCGATCAGTACGTCCGCCGAGAGTTCTCTATTCAATCCCCCATTCATCCCTCTGCGACCGCTGGTATGCCAAGAGGTGCAGCAATCAATAGTTATAACAACTGTGGTTATACTCATTCATTCTTGTGGTTATTACAAGTAAAATGGAAGCGAAAATGCTTAGTAATTGAAATCGTGAGTAGTCTTGTGTACAAGAATGGGTGAGAAACCTGTGAATGCAATCAGTTTTATCATGTGAGCGGCATTAAAGCCAATTTTTCCAAAAAGAACCGCTCCCAATTTACACTCATCCCCACAATTCAAAATCTTGCCCACGCCTGCATTGTGTTGTATTGTATGTTAATTATGAAAGATTTCTCATCATTCTTTCTCTTGAAAAATTCTTTTGGATCGGTAGGAAGCAAGAAAAGAAAAGGTATGAGAAGCAACTTCTGCAACGGCAACTGCTCAACTTCCACTCTCAACCAGAACAACCCTTCTCCCCCTCCTCCTCCTCGCCGGCAGTGTCAAGATTCTAACTATAATTCCTGCATGTTCACACCCTCACCTGCAGCAGCGACCCAGAGGCAGACGTTGGAGGAGATGATATGGCAGCTTGAGTTAGAAGAATTAGAGGCCGCCGCCAGAAAATCATCAGCGAAAGCAAAACTTAACCTCGGCCGCACTAGACTCTCATCTGTTGATAACACTGCTTCTGAGAACATCCTAATGTCTGCCAGGGACGCACTCAACCAGTACCCGCGTTTCTCTCTTGACGGAAAGGACGCCAGGTACCGATCTTCCTTTCGAAACCTGGACTCTTCTCTCCCCAGAAAATCTGTCTGCTGCGACCGTGGCCTCGCCCACAGACTTATCAAGTCATATCACCAGGAGAAGAAACCTGCAGCCATTTGCTGCTTTCCCCCAACTGTGGCGGGACAGCCAGTGATTTGGTGCGCACCAGGAGTGGTTGCAAAGTTGATGGGGCTAGATGCCATTCCAGTTCCCCTAAAAATCAGAAAAGGCTCGGTACAAAGTAACAAGGAGGAGCTGGGTTATATCATCAACGGGCAAAATCTGAGGAGGAGAGCTGAAAGACATGAAAAATCTCGTGAGAGAACATCGGTTGCTACAATGGATAAGATTCTCATGCCAACTTCTTGCAGTTCATCAAACCAAGGCTACTGCACGCTGAACCCTGTCGCAGTAGACGCAGCAAATGCTGGAGGCTGGCCAACTAGGCGTTTTTTCTAGATCTTACTCGTCACACCATCAAATCACTCAAATCAAGTCCTGCATAGCTAATTCTAATTACTAGCCTATATATATATAAATATATATATTTTCAAGTTATAAAAAATTTGATTGCTTCTAGCATGTAACCTAAAATTACATATAATGTCATTATCTTTAACATAAAATAAGAAACAGACTTATTCTCTTGCTGCCTAATAATTTGTATTGCTAGTAATCAATCCTCAATTTATAGCTTATGTAATGTGAGATTATGAATGCCATATTCCAAAAATTCCCAGCATGATAACTTGTCCTTTTACCAGACATACAAAAATTAGATTAGCCTTGGTGCATGAAAGCATACTAGTACGTAAACACACACACACACACACATATATACAATTAGAAATCTGAAGAAAAGTAAACTCAAAAAATCAAAATATGTAATCTACATTGCAAATCTTTCAAAGAGAACGGAAAAAAGAAAAAAAAAAAAACAAAAATTGTGGGAAGATGTTGAAGATATATACGGAAAATTTATCAAAATAAGTCCTAATTAACAGGAGAATATAAGTGAACTTGTATTAACAGAAGTGGAGGCCCAGCCCAGTTTGGAACAAAAACCTGATTTGTAAAATGCTGCTCCAGAGCCATCTTGGACTTTAGACCCGATAGTGTTTAAACAAGACACGAGTGATCTCCCAAATGTTCGGGAGAGTTTAGAGCACGTAATAATCACGGTATATATATATATATATATATATATATATATATATGTATATAAGCATATAAATTGGGAGCAGGGGGTAATCGAGTATAAGAAAAGTCCTCACATGAACATGTCGTACAACAATAAATGATGCCAACTTTACTTTCTAATAAAAATGTAAATCTTCAATTGATTACGTTATATAAAAAAATAATTCTATATACATATATATATATATATGTGCGAGGTGTGCATCTACATGTGCAGAAATACATAAATAAATAATTTAAGAGATGATGATGTTTAATTTTGATCCGGATAAGAGTATGTTTGGTTAAGGAAGTAAATACCATAGCATACGATGATGAAAGTTTTATAAACTAAGATAAGCAATGCCTTCATACAGAATAGAGACAGTGTAAAAGCTTAGAAATTTGTACACCCTTTGGCACCAATGGTTTTTCTCCGAATGAGCAGATGGTAACGACCAAGTGATGGGAATGGATTCATCCTATTAATAAGAGATCAGAAATTGTATCGTTTTGTTTAGTTTAGTTTTGCCTTATTTTGTTTGCCACATGCAGAGCAATTTTGATTTTGATGCACTCAATAAGATCCTGAAATTGAGGTGGTCAACTTTCATGCTGAAGAATATATATACATATGTATATATATATATATATATTTTATATGCACACCACCTGTTTGATTCTTTTTCTCTCTCACATTACGACTTTCCCACCATTTGATGGTGTCAAAAAAGTCAGACTCAAGAGACTGGGATTCCCTGCACGCTGCACCATTTTCTTAATTAAAAGAATTACACGCTTTTCCAAATAAATTACCCATCACCACGTGCCTGCTTCTTCACTAAAGCCTTCTTTCACTCTCATCTCAATATGTATCTATCTATCTATATATATATATATATATAATGTACTAGACTCTCTTAGCTCATTAATTCTGCTTTGGGTATTCATATTTCTTATTATATTTAAACGACTTACATTCTTAGCTAGAATTTCAGGATGGTTAGGAATTTCAGTCTCAGCTGAGGTCGAAATTTAATTCTTTCACTAAATTCTTCAACAGATAACTTGTTCTATATAATATATAATAGCGAAAACTTACAATGTCCTGAATGAGATGGTCAAAGATTCCACTACCAGCATGAGATTAAAAAAGAAAAGGGAATTTTAACTGTAAGAACCTAATAATTTGTACCATTCCATCATAACTTAGTGGCCTCCACTTCGTGCTGTCCTCAAGGCCGATGCTTGTTCCCTTAACGGACCACTTTAAGTAACGATTAACGGACCAAGGGCCTACCTGCTATTGTTATTCCTATTTTTCTTTACCCATTAGTCAACTTGCTGATTCTAATTTTGGAACATTGATTATTCAATTTAGTTATTTCCAACAAGATATTTGGCAACATCTCTCCCTCTATCTCTATTTACATACATACATATATATATGTATATATTACAGACAAAGTATGGTTTTGTGGACTCTTTTTAAGTTTAGATGCATTCCCAAGGCTCATTGATCTTTCAAAAATGAGGTCAAAAAGTCCCACTTGACTCCACCACACTATGCAGCTAAAACCAGTGGATTATTTTTTTACTAGTACTTTTTCTTTGAGGTTCTCAATCCTATGGTCGGCTATGAGTCCATGGCTATTTTAACGGTTTCTGTTTCAGTTGTTAGGATACTGTCAACCCAACATTATTATATATATATATATGTATATATTCCATAGTTTTAGCTATATACCCAGTGAAAGTGCTTTCCTCTCAGATCTATTATCTATATAAGAAACTCCTTTCCCTATCTTCCATCGCATGTGCTCTTTCTAGTCCCCTCACTTGTGCTTTCCTTCTTAAGTTCAAATACCCCCTCTCTCTTTCAACAAAGGTTATACATAATTAATTTCCTTGTTTGAGCAGGAAATGAACCTAGTCTGGTGTTATATGTTAGCACTATTCACGACATTGAAGGCTGTCAAGGTGTATGGAATTGGGTGGATTGATGCCCACGCTACTTTCTATGGAGGTGGAGATGCTTCTGGAACAATGGGTAAGGAAGAAAAGAAACTTAAATGTCAATTTTCTTTTCTCGCTTGAGTGCAAAATAGTTTATCAATATATACATAAATATATATATGCGTGCAGGTGGAGCTTGTGGGTATGGTAATCTTTATAGCCAAGGGTATGGGACAAACACAGCTGCATTGAGTACAGCTTTATTCAACAATGGGTTAAGCTGTGGAGCTTGCTTCGAGATCAGATGCGTAAATGATAGAGAATGGTGTATACCAGGCTCTATTATAGTAACTGCCACCAACTTTTGCCCACCAAACCTTGCTCTGGCAAACAATGCTGGAGGCTGGTGTAATCCTCCTCTGCAGCACTTTGATCTTTCACAACCTGTTTTCCTACGCATAGCAAAATATAAAGCTGGAATTGTTCCGGTGCAGTACAGAAGGTAAGCATGCACTAATAGTAGGTAATAGCTCGTATTTTAATCAACTATTTTATGCCTTGAACTTAGTGCTAGTGTTTGGTTTCAGGGTTACTTGCCGGAAGAGAGGGGGAATGAGGTTCACAATCAATGGCCACTCCTACTTCAATCTGGTGCTGATAACTAATGTTGGTGGAGCAGGTGATGTGGTGGGTGTGTCCATAAAGGGCTCTAAAACTGGTGGATGGCAGGCAATGTCCAGGAACTGGGGTGTGAACTGGCAGAGCAACTCCTACCTCAATGGTCAGGCCCTCTCTTTCAAAGTCACAACCAGCGATAGACGCTTTGTGATCTCTAACAATGTAGCTCCAACTACCTGGACCTTTGGCCAAACATATACTGGAAAACAGTTCTAACTATTAATTATATTATCCATACACTCCTCTCTAACCTTAACCTTTCCTACAATTTATTCAAATTTTCTCACATGCGTATCCTATAAATACTCCATCGTGTATAACATTTACATGAGGATGTATAAAAACCGTTTTCTCATGGCCTTCCTTGTGTTGGGTTATACCTATTCCTATACTGGAGGCAGCGAATGTTGTTATGTTACACACTCCATTTATATATACTATATAACTAAGGGACTTCCACATATTCAAGAAGGCCTCTGTTTTTAACTAGTACTGATGGCCTGTAAGGTGAGTGGTCACCTTCTTTCTGGCAGAGGTGAAGAATCACCCGCCCTGATACAAAAGCTTTTCCTTTCTTGTTTTTTTTCCGGCTTTATTGTCTTTCATTTTACAGTTGCAGCAAACAGTAGAGGATACTTATGGCTTAAAAAGCCAGTGAGTTGGAGCTAATCCTCTTCAATATGTACTCTTCAAATAAATACATATGGAATAATTTTTGGAGTGTGATTAAACCCTATGCTTCATGCAACAAAATATTGCAATATTAGGCATGTGATTCTCTGAATTCAACCTACTGTTTGTTTATGTTGAATTTTATAAAACAGAAGAAAACCAATCCAAAAGGAGGTTACTAGCTCCAACTTATTTGCATTATTAGTCCATATTTCTAACCTTGATTGTGAGAGAATTCGTTTGCAGTATCTTATAGGACGATGGTGATGGACTCACCTTAGCAATAGTAGCTATGCTTCAACTATAGCATTTTACATATCACCCCTAAGAGGTTTCATTACCAAAATGTACCCCTTCTCAGCCTTTTTTCCACATAAAATAAAGTTGAATTTGTACGTTTTTTATTCTTTTGCTGTTAAAAGCAAATAAATTTTATTGTAATATAAAAAAGTAATAATTTTTTAGGTTGAATTACATAGTCCTTTTAAGATCTCACTAAAAACTCCCTTACTATTAATCATCTATTGTAATCTGTTACATCATTATTTTTTGTCTAAGTCCTTAAATATTCTTTTTTGCACATATTTTAATTATTCATTCTTTTTTCCTTTCTCATTTCTTTCAACTATTCACCTGACTAGTACCCATCCCCTTTTTTTCCTTCTTATTTCTTTCTATTCCTTCATTGTCTTTGCATAAAAAAGCTACCTTGTCTTCTACACTACCAGCTTCTTACAGAACCAACTTCTACTCCTCTTGCTCTTTTCTCTTTTTTGTTTGTTGAAAAAACCACATTGCTTACCTACTTATGGTATTGGTACTTACGGGTTTTCTTCTTTAATTTATACAATCTCAAAAAAATCTAATCCTGCTTATTGTCTCTGTGCTTTAGGCTTCTTATGTGAAAATGAAGAAGGAAGAAAAAATTGAGAGAAAAGTAAAGAAAGAAAGAATAAAGAGAAAAAACAAAAGGAATAAGGTATTAGACAGGTGAATAAAAGAAAATCCAAGGAAATTAAAGAAATAGATGCACAAATGGTATTCCACGGTTAAATATAGAAGTGGTGATGTGACAAACTAATATAGATGAATAGACTAATATATATAACAGTAGAGATCTTCTGTGGAATAATTCGGAAATTTGTTGTGCTTTATATTTAGTTTAAAAAATAAAAAAAGAATTTCATGTATTTTCTGAAACTTCAGGAAAGTTTATGGAATTTGTCCTAATATTACTGATATAGACATTAAGAAAAATGGTTGAGCAACTGGAAATCTGTGAGCACCAAGTTTGATTGATTGTGCCATCAATCATAATGATGGTTGCTCCACCATCATAATTTGCAAATGACTAATTTTATCATGAAAAAATATAATTGTGACTAGACACTAGGTGAACCAAAAATGGTTGCAACTTGGTTACAGTTTTGTTGCAAAATGACCTGATCATAGGGTTGGTTGCAACAGAGACTTACTAATGATCTATTTGCAAATTCCAACCATGACTTGGTAACAACTCTGACTTATTTGCAATATAGTTGTGACCATGACTTACTTCTATCTATTACTAACGGTGGCTGTGAGACCAAATCTGAGAATGATCACATATGATGGTGGAGCAACCATATTCAGATGTGCTTCAACTATAGATCATAGCAATGTGGCTATATCCAAAGACTACCTAAAAAGAGACAGTGATGACATGCGTAGATCCATACATGCGATCGGGTGACTGTTGTCATCTTATACAATTTGGTGAACATGGTTTATGCGACTGTTATGAGATATTTGACGGGCTTGAAATCAGTGGGTGTCTAAGGAAGCATGGCAAGGAACCTCAGTCTCATACATAACAAACATTCTTTGGTGTTATAGGAGGATGCTGTTACACAATACAGAAACAAAAAATGTCATGCAAATCTAGGAAAGGATAGGTTGATCAAGGCCTCCAGAAAGGAGATTCAAGTTGAACACAGATGCATCAATTAATATTCATGGTGAGACAGGTTTGGGCTTCATGTGCAAAGATTGGAAACGTAAATTGATGTGTCGTATCCCATCTTAGGCGGAGATTGAAATGCCAGAAGATATGGGTATACTGTATCGGCTGAAAGAGGCTACAGAATGGGCATCACACATTTGATTGTAGAGTGACTCCAGGACTCTATTTCTAGCGCTTTCAACAAGAAGGGTGGACCACTCTGAGATGGGGTTAATTACAGTTGACATTTTATCTTATAATTATGTTGTACATGCCTTACGTTAAAACCTGACTCTGTTGTTTTCAATTTGGAGTCACCTATCTTCTTTGTTCCTCTGCTTGTGCAGGATGATTGTCAATCAATGATATGATATGATGTTTTCTTCTAAAAAATATACATACATATATATCTCTTAATTATTTAGGAACTGATGGAATATAATACACATAATATGCTAAGAATAATCTCTTACAGTGGGAGGAACCGAACTGCTGCAGCTTTACAACATTCTCAGCTGACATCCTTCGTCTCAAATAGCAATTGGCAGAAGGAGATTGCATTAAAATCTGGCATAAGTATAATCAAAATAGAACATAAATTCCCTCAGGCTAGAAACTGATGAAATGTCTTTCAATCTCATTTCAAATCGGGACTGTACTGAAATCATCTAATTCCACTGAGAATTATCCATCTAATTCCACTGGGTAGAATGCCATTAAATATTCATTTGTTCCCTGATAGAATTATGGCTTCTGCCCTCATGCTTCTGCTTATATAATCATCTAATTCCACTGCACGCCCATCATTTTGCTATCTCTATAAAATAATCCCAAGTTTTTTATATTATCTAAACCATTCAACAATTAAACTGCTACTTGGTCTTCATGCAATAATTTCTTTTAACAATTCAAAAAAAAGCAATGGATAGAGGAGCAAATTAACTAGGCAGTAAGAAGAAACAAAGCCCAAATCGTAGAGACTAACCACCTTTTCCTTTTATAACTGAAACACAGCCATAGAATCAGCGCTTCTCCCTGCTCTCTTGTTACTTTTTCTTTACAACTTCTCTGTTTCCAGCTTCTTCATCTTCTCTATTCCTGTTACTTTCCTGCAATCTCTCTTAATGTCACCTGCTATTTCCAGCTTCAATCATATCTCCTTTGCGGAGCATGTCCATTGAACGTGAAAGATAGGAACAAGCTTCCAATGTCCCTAGCAGATATATCATGAACCACTAGTGAGAATCGGTGCTTTACAGCTCAAAAGGACGACTGCTAACGGAGAGGAAGCAGAGATCGGTGACTAGTGGAGAAGAAGCAGAAGTGCATGGCTTTGTTTTTTATTTATTTTTTTTATGTTTTATTTTATATAATAATGTAATCTTTTGTGAAAAATTAAAACAAACAGGATACTGAATTGCGCCAAAAAATCAAAATTTTAGAATTACGTCTGAAATGAAAATCGAAATTCAATTTAGCACCTTCACCAAATAAAGATGACGACGAAACATGGTTCTGATCTGGTTGAAGATCAATCGGGCCTCACTATGAATGTTAACCAAAGGAAAAGGGCCGATAGGCCCAGTAAAACCAGGAGTATTATAGGGCTCCGGATTCACCTTTCCCGCCCAAAACCTTCAGTCACCTCATTCCAATCCCCTGTGTAGGACCCCAGCTAAGAAGAAGCAGAAGAAGAAGAAGAAGAAGAAGCATCAGCAGCGTAAGAAGAGATGTGATATAGAGACGTCGAGCAAGAAAAATGGTAAAATGTATGAACTGGAGGTAGATGAAGTAGAAGGAGACTGCATTGAGACCACCAAGGGATGTTCCACAAGATTGGGGCAGCCACTCCCATCGACTCCAAACACTCCCCTATCAATCTCGAAACGCCTCCCTCCGCTCCTCTCGCTGTCTCTGAGCTCCATCGTCTCACCTTCGTAGCCCATAATTCCGGCTTCTGCGTTGCCAGAACCAAAGACCTCATTGATTCCGCCAAACGGATTAAGGAGAAAGCCACCACCGCTACCTCCATAGTGGAATCCAGCATCGTCGACGTTCCTCTTCCCAACGTCAGACTTCTCGCTCTCTCCGCAGATAATTCCACTCTCGCAGTAGCTGTTTCTGCTTTTCTTCATTTCTTCTCCATTGATTGTCTTCTCGACAAGGTGTTTCTGTTTTCTCCATTGTGAATTTCTTTTTTCCTTCCTTTTTTAACGAGGGAGACGAAGGGGCCATTTAGCCAACCCCTTCTGATTCTGAGTTAAAAAACAGCGAAGCTCTCAGTTATTCCTACCAACTAACCTAACTGTTAGCTACTTCCAATCTTTATTTTTCTTATAGTAATTACATCCTTCCAGTATGGATTGCGAAAATTGAGTTCATTTCTTTAAAAAATAATTGAAAATTCAAGTTATTATGCTAGGTTTCTTTTCACTTACTGGCTATGTTTTCAGTTGCTTTTGTCTTAAGCATGAATTTCTAATTTCATCGTTATTGTTTCGTTTTTCTTTTTTTGGTTTCTGCCCTAAAATTTCTGAACAGGAGCTTAAACCATCTTTCTCACACTCGATTGAGGAATCAAGCGTTGTGAAGGATCTAAGGTGGACTAGAAAGGCCGAAAGCTCCTATCTTGTCCTTTCAAATAACGGAAAGCTCTATCATGCAGTTGATGATAGCCCTCCTAGACATGTTATGGATGGGGTTGATGCTGGTATATTTTGTTCCTGGCTTAAATGCAGTATATATGTTCATATTTGTGCTTCTACGAGCCCATTATTTTTCTTTACTCATGCTCCTCTGGTAGCATAGGATCAGAGAATGCTGCACATGCATGCCTTTATACAAAGAATTTTGCTATAGATGCTATGTGACAAACATTAAGGTTCAGATTGCAGGCTCCAGTGAACTTTACAGACTTTTCCCCATTTTTAATTCTAAGATTTTGTTTAAGAACCACAGCTTTTTTTTTTCATTTTCCTCTGACATACCAAGGGTTTTTAGAGTTATCTATCCGATTTGCTCCTTTTTTGTCATGGCAATACTCATTGTCTCTTCTTAATTTATAAATTTTTCCAGATAAACTGCCCTCTTGAAGTTAGGTCAGGTAAATCTTGAGCCACTATCTAATTGGTTATGGAAATTCTGTTTCCATTTTAGTTAGCTTTGCTTGTAAAGTACCATGCAGAAAAATTCTGTAGGAATAAGATGTTGTCATTATTTTGCTTTGAGTATATATGTGATGCTAAACTATCTTTGCCAACTCAGGTTTAACTCCTATGTATTTTGCCTTTGTTTCAGTT